AACCTTTGTATATATGTACTCAGAACAAGGCAACTACACAACCTGCTCTATATGTATTTACAACATCCAGCATACCTTACCTTTGTTTACTTTATACCACATCATCATTGCTGAATTTAAGGAAACTTAGAACACATATAAGGTACTCAGAAACACGCACACATGGCTAAGTGTTCATCATAGTACAATCACATATTCATAGGATATTTATTTACACTAATTAATGTCTTCATATCTTCAAGAAATACTAACAGATTATAAGTACTCAGAAAAAGCCCATAATCCTTCATCACAGTACTTAAATCCAGTATTCACAGAAAATAAGAACACAGAATAAGTACTTAAAAACATCCACAGTTCATCAATTGCTCATCCCAGCACATAATCCTTTCTCAGATCAGGTAGAATAAATCCAGTCATCATAGATTGGGAAAACATCACATTATGATACAATCACAGCATCAAATTTTGCGCAGGCACAATAACTCATCACATAACGAAAGGAATGCAGACAAATGATGTAAAAGTACTTCCCTACTTGTACTTTGAAGCCCAAAAATTGGGGTCTGGACTGGGAAGTAAGATGTTCAACATATCAATGTGGAGGTGCATGCATGAGCAGATCTGGGAAGAATTCTGAATTAGAGATATATCAGATCCCTCTGTGCCATCAGAATCAGTTTCAAGAACTATGACCTCAACCTCCTCGCTCTCCAGATGAATAACAGAGTCCCTTTCAGAGGTAAGGTCGATAACCTCTTTCGCTTTGACCGGGGCAACATCGGCAATGTTCTCGTTATTCTCGAGAACGATTACCTCGTCCTCCTCCTTGTCGTCAGAGCTGTAGATGTAGGCGCCATCTACAAATTGGGTTTCTGGAATGCATGATTCATATAGATAATCATCGAATTCCATTAAAGAGAAGGATGAACTGAGAAAATGTATACAGATCTAGATTTGTAAATGAGGAGAAGAAGAGGCAAAGAATTGATTGAGGAGAGGAAGAGTCAGATATGGGTGGCGTAAATGAGGAGGAGGAAGGGGCGGATAAGAGAATGGGAGTGGATAGGTGTGAATTAGAAAAAGGTGGAGGGTATTTTTGGAAGAGTGTGGGTTAAAATTAGAAATGTAAACTTTATTTTCGGACGGAGAAAAAGAAGAAACGTAAACTTTATTTCCGGACGGAGGGAGTATTTTTTTAAATCAAATTAGACAAATTTTGAACTATAACTAGTATCACACCCGTGCGTTGCACGAGTCATAGTTACGTTACTAAATCAAGATCTTGTTTAAGAATATAAATTTCTATATATTGGAATGTAGAGTTTTCATTATTTAAAAGTACAAAAATAAAATGATTTACAAATTTTGAAAGACTTCTTTATAAACTACATTACTTGTATAATTCGTGTGAGCATTCATTTCGTTGTATATCAGAATTTTCAAGCCATTGAAATTTATTACTCTTGAAATTGCAACATACAGTTGTCTATGACTAAATACAAGTTTTCGTAACAAAAATTCAACATGCTTCAGACATTGTCCCTGACAAAATTTCAATAATTTGACTTATCTAAGCAATAGTTCAACATATTAATGTATTTATTTTGGAATTTGTAGTTTTTAAATTTTATTTCTGTGTTTAAATGGTATCATTTACTTATCTTACGATATTTATTTTCTATTTTATTTTAGATCACTTATCATTTTTACATGTGTCCATGCTTGTAAATTATAATATTAATAGCATTAATTTTAGAATACTTACCATTGTTACATGTTTCCATGCTTATAGTATAAATAGTATTAATGTATAAATTTTTTATTTTTGCATTTATATGGTACCATCTACTTACTGTACCGTATTTCTTTTTTAATTTATTTGATAATACTTACCATTTTTACATGTTTCTATGCTTGTAAATTGTAGTATTAATTAATAGTATTAATCATTTATTTTTTATTTTTTTTTTGTATTTAAATGGTATCATTTACTTACTGTACCGTATTTATTTTCTAATATATTTTATAGCACTTACCATTTTGATTTCTAATTTATATTAGAAAACTTATCATTTTTACACGTTCGTGCTTGTAAATTATAATATTTTTTAAATAACTAATTAATTTGTCCGTAGTTTTTTTTGAAATAAATCATTCTAATCCCGCTCATACGTTATTAATTTGTAGTTTTTTTTAATTTTATTTTCATATTGAAATGGTACTGTATTTTATTTCCATACTATAATTTCTTAGTGGTTCACTACTATTTAATTTATTTAATTTAATTTAAATACTTAAATGGTGTAACATTTAAATAAAAATGAAAACATACTTAAAATGGAAGGAAATATTGAGGCAAAATAATTAAACTACCATTTGTGGTCGAAAGCTATAAAAGGTAATAATGTTTTTTTTATAATTTTTGTTTATTACCGGCCTTTAAATTTCATAAAAAGTAATACTAATTTTTTTCTTTGTAAAATATAATAATGTACCGTAATTGAAATTAAGAGAAAAAAATTTATTGCCTCTATAAAAGGTAATAATGTTCCATCAAAATTGATATTATGGTCGAAAGCTTTAAAAGTAATAATGTACCATTTTTTCCATAATTTTAGTTTATTACCTGCATTCTAATAAAAGGTAATGAAAATTTTATTTTTTTCTATAAAAAGTAATAACATACGGTATTACATCTATAAAAGCAACAATGCATACCAAAGAGTGACAATTAAAAAAGCTAATAATGTACAAAAACTTTCCATAATTAAATTATCATATTTTTCCATAATAATGAACATCAATTCCACTTACCGTTTCAAAGATATTTTAATTCTTACCATTTTCACACATCATTTGGGCGGGAAAACCCAGGGTGAAAATTCCCCTGCTTTTAAGTATAGTATAGATTACTCTCAATTTATATTGCATATTAGCATAATGAAATATAATTTTGATAGTTCTCAATACAATACATCTAATAAAGTCATTTTTATGTTAAAATATAAAGTAAATTCTATAATTGGTCCTTTATAACAGAGAGTTTCCTATTTAGTCCTCTATTATCAAATATTACCCCAGTGGTCCTTTTTTTATGGATATTTTTCCACAAATAGTCCTTTTTTGATCTTCTATCATGTTGGAGTTAATTTGAGGGCTAAAAGTGTTATTTCACAATGATAATATATCTTTTTTGTCATACACAATTCCAAAGGTTTTTCCGTTTGCGTCATTTGTGAATTACATTCGCTTTCTACTACAACCATAGTCTACAAATGTGGTCTTCTGTCGGAATCCTAGCCCACAATCATAGTCATTATTTTTGTGTTATCTGCTTAACCAATATCAGAACACGTCACTAGACATAATGTTGATGTCAAATTATACTTTTAGCCTTTAAATTAATACTCACATGGCAGAAGATAAAAAAAGGACCATTTGTGGAAAGACACATTAAAAAAAGGACTACGATGATAATATTTGACAAAAGAGGACTAAATATGGAAACTCTCATGTTATAAATAACCAATTATGGAATTTACTCTAAAATATATTATGGTTTTTATTTAATTGAAGCTCAAAGTTTGTTTAGTTAGACTCGAAAAAGTCAAACATGACAAATACACTAGGACAGAGGGAGTGAAAAATAATTTCCTAATTTTATATCTCTATTCCTTAATGAGTAAATTTTCTAGTTACGATATAAAATGTAATCTATGAAAATACTGTTAGAATAATTGTCCTTCACTAGAGGGGGGGTGAATAGTGAGGCACGAGAATGTTTATAAATTTTTGCGGAATAAAAATCGCAGGGATAAAGTAAAGAGCGGAATAAAAAGGAGTAAAGGGAGCACACCAAGATTTACCCTGGTTCACCACAACTTGTGGCTAATCCAGCCTCCCGAGAGACTCTCTCGAGCTACACTACTTCCGTTAAGCTTACGGGTGCTTAACAAACCGTTACAACCTGAGAACTCGAGTCCCACGAGCCTCAATACACTNTTTATAAATTTTCGCGGAATAAAAATCGCAGGGATAAAGTAAAGAGCGGAATAAAAAGGAGTAAAGGGAGCACACCAAGATTTACCCTGGTTCACCACAACTTGTGGCTAATCCAGCCTCCCGAGAGACTCTCTCGAGCTACACTACTTCCGTTAAGCTTACGGGTGCTTAACAAACCGTTACAACCTGAGAACTCGAGTCCCACGAGCCTCAATACACTTGCTCGGAGATACCGCACTCCAAGACTTCAACCCGAAGGGAAATACCTTTCCTTCGTACAACCAAGGGAAACAAGCTTCCCTAAACGTGTTTACAACACTAAGAACACTCAAGAACAAGACTCTCTTTAAGAGTAGATGTTGAGTAAACTATATACGCTCAAGAACAACTCAAACTTCACAAATTGGCTCTAGAAAGCTATGGAAATTAATGTTGTTTGGATGCAATGATAATATGAATAAAGTGAAGTGAATTGATGTGTAAAGCAGACCTAAACACCCCTTTTTATAGTGCCAAAAAAGGCTCCAACGGACCAATACATTAAAGGGGTGATTGGCTTGATTTATGGGATTGAAAAGATTTGGGATCTGCAGGATATTGGCTTCCCATCGATGTTTGAGACTTACCCATCGCTGGTAAGCCAATTTTCCTTCAGTTTTGAAGCCAACGGTTACCTACCCATCGATGGGTAAATGCTTCCCATCGCTGGGTGGGAGGTTGACTTTCAAATAAGGAAAGAATCAGCCTTAAATGACTCCCAACGGTCATGCCTTCCCATCGATGGTTAAGCCTTCCCCTCACTGGGTTCCCATCGATGAGTAAAGCTTCCCATCGCTGGGTAAGGGCATTCTGCCTTGTGGTAATGTTGCACCAAGGCTTTAACAGTGATGGGTAGAACTTCCCATCGCTGTTTGGCATGGTTCTGGAAATCAGTTTCGTTGAGGGACTGCTTACCCATCGATGGGAAGATCTTCCCATCGCTGGGTGGCATGATTCTGGAATCCCGGGATCACTTACCCATGCATGGGTGAAATCTACCATCGCTGGGTAGATGGCTAGCCCAAAACCATGGCTTAGCCGACTGGCACTAAAACCCGACCGAAAAATGCAAAGTTTTTCAAAGTAAAAACTAAGTGTTTAAAACACTTATTTAATGTATTTTGATGTCAAAATAAGCTTTGTATGTTGAAAACCACGTCGTTAAGGTAAAAACCACGGATGACCAAGTCAATGCCGTACACGGGTGGTTTTTACGAAAAGACAAAACCGAAAAGTGGTTTTCATGATGTTTTGATTGGAGAACCATTTGAATGAATTCAAAAACAATTCCTACACAAAAAGACTTGAAAACCACTTCATTTAAGTAAAAACCACGACTAGCCAAGTTTATGCTGTTTCGCATGGTTTTTATCAAACGACAAAAAACGAAAGGTGGTTTTTGAAGTGTTTTTGATGGAAAACTATTTAAATGTTCCCAGAAGTAAAAACCAATCATAAAAAGTTGAAAACCACTTGATTAGTTTGGACGCCAAAAACCAACGCCGAAAACCGAATGCCGAACGCCGGTTTTTGAAACCCGAACGCCAGATGGCTTGGTTTTTGGTTTGGGCAAACATCAAGTGTTTTTAATGTTTTAAACATGTTTGAAAAACATTTTTATGATGTGAAATGCAATGAAAAGAATTTTAGCCTAAAGAGCCAAGGTGTAAAGATTGGGTCGGTCTTGATCACAATTGTGACTGACTCAACGACACTAAGACTACGGTCTTCGTTCTTGGTCTTCTTTTGGCCCTTGTTCTCTTTCTTCTCATCTTTGGTTCTCGCCTTGTATATTCAATGACTTGTCTCGTTCACGGCGATTTGGCATTATCAAAACCTGTCATAACAACGAACACGGCTTTAGTACGATAACGTGATAAACCCGTGTTTCAACAAATACTTCATCCGTACTATAATGTTATTCTTGTTTATGTTTACGACATTGGATCAATTTTATTTTCAATTTAATTTTACTTGATAATGGGTGTAAAAATTAAAAATAAAATTTATATATTTAAAAATTACATCAAAAGTTCTACAAAATAAGAAGTGATAAGACTATTATTTTATCAAATAACTAACGAAAATATGTACAAAAAATGATTATGGTTTAGCCGTGTGAATAGTAACTCGAAAGAACATTTTAGGACGGAGAAACTAATAAATACCTGCAAGTAATGTCATAGAAATATATGAACACCAAGGCGGTTCCCATGACATTGTATGTGATTGATAGGTATGCTAAGAATTAGGCAAATTAGGTAGCATTCCGTTAAACTTATTAGTCTGCTTATTACTTATTCTTATTATAATCAGATCAGATCATTTCAGAAATAACTTTAATTATAACAGTAATCAGGTCAAACCAGATCATATCAGATCACACCAGATCCTCAAAAAAATCAGATCAGATGAAGCGAACGGAACGCAGGCTTAGTATGTGTAAGAATGATTTTTTAATCAAAATAAGAATAGTTTTTTGAAATAGATGAAAAAAAGAAGGAGAAAAATTCCCAGGGACAGTGGGAATACGACGAGGTAAACAAAAAAACTTGGGATACTCCATAGTTAATCTCAAATGGTCATGTGCGGTCTGTGATAATTGATTTTATGTTTTTTTATCTTGGTTCGTCCCATTTGAAATCGATTGAGATTTGGTTCGTGATAAAAAAAATTAGATTTCGTTAGAAAATGCGATAAATGATTCGATGTGGGTTTGATATAGTCATATAGACTATAGAGTAGCATCATACTTATTCGGTTTTTTTCCTTTTCTTTTACCTACATTCGGCAATGACAAGGGGGGCAGAGGTAGGGTGTGATTGAGATTAGGGGTTGAATGATACTCTGTACTAGTATTTTAACCCGTGCCATGCACGGGATGGTACAAAATTATTTGTGATTCTACAATGACTTTATTTTTTATGAGACATATCATTTAGACATCAAATATAAATGATCTAGGTTTATTAAATTTATATAAATCTATAATTTTTATTCCCGTATAAATTAAAAAAATACAAAAAATAGTAGTGAATCCATAAATCTTTTCCCCAACATAAATTTTAAAAAGCTTGAATTACCGATCTTATGATTATACAATTAAAAAACATGATTTTTCTCCCCCGCATTAATTGAGATTAGCGAAAAAATGTTTCTCCCCACCCCTGCATTGAATACAAAAATTGATTCATCTCTACTGTATTATTTAAAAATAAAATATTGGATTAGCAATCCTATGACTCTACTATTAAAAATATTCATTTGAAAAAAATTAAAATACAACAATTCTTCTCCCTTGCATCAATTTTGAAAAAAACAATATTAATAAAAAAAAGTAGTGCTACAATGATTCTGAAGGGAAAAAGAGAAAGATTAAAATGGAAATAAAATATAAGAAAATAACCAAAATAGAATCTTTATGTTTTATCTACAAAATAAGAACTATAATATCAATAAGACCAACATATAATACAAAAATTAAAATGAAATGTCAATATACTGTGTCACATTATATTGCAATAGTACCATTTTCGAGACGCTACAATAATAAAGAGGTAAATTATTTTGAGACGACAGAGCGAGTTAAATTTTATTATAGTTTTTAAAATATTTTAATTTTTAAATTTTACATCAATGTTTAAATAATAAAATCAAAACTAACTTCATTTAAACATCTCATAAAGAAATATGAAATTTATTAAGAGGTGAAGAGAGTATCTAATTTAGTATTTTGAAATTTTTTTATAAATGAAGAGAAAAAAATATAAATCATGAAAGAATAATATCATATAAATGAAGATATTTTTTCCATAATAAATTTACTCATTGATTTCAAACCAAACTATTACTTTATTATTTTCCACATCACAAATTGTGTGGCATATTAAGTTTACAAAAACGCCACATAAACAATATATACAACATGTCGACTTTCTAGAGATTTAAATCTTATTTTTATATATAAAGGATATTTAAGTCATACAATCTGAATTTAGTTATAAATTTTATGTGCAAAAATTGTAATTATAATTCATCTTTTACATTTTTAAAATAAAATCGTTTGACAATTCTAATAAAGTTCAATTGTAAAATAAATGTGATTTTTTTAATTTTTAAGAAAATGCGATAAATGATTCGATGTGGGTTTGATATAGTCATATAGACTATAGAGTAGCATCATACTTATTCGGTTTTTTCCTTTTCTTTTACCTACATTCGGCAATGACAAGGGGGCAGGGGTAGAGTGTGATTGAGAATAGGGGTTGAATGATACTCTCTATATGACAAGTTTCTAAATATAACGATGCACCACAAATATTAAAAAATGTTGAGTACGCCATGTCAAGAATGGTGAATAATTTAAGTAAGAAATCAACCCTTCTACATATAGCCTAGCCAAAGTGTAAATAGAGGATTAGGTGAATCATCTAAATGTAGTAACTAGTAAACATCAAACTTTACTACGAAAGTGTTTGGTAGTGCACTGCTTTTAACAATTTAGCTTCTGCTTTAATGGAAGTGATTTTACTCTGTTTGGCATGTCAGCTTCTGCTTTTCATCAACATTATTTTGTACATGAAACACCGTTTCGGAGAAGCAGGTATAAGGTGCTTTTGCTTTCAGCTTTTATAGAAATCAGTTTATTCATAAGTTAATCACTCCCAAACACCCTCTACATACAGTTTGTTCCCTAACACAATTATAATCATTTAATAATAATAATACTCCCATCCGTAATAATAATTATTACGAAGTATATTATTGTTATTATTATTATTATTATTATTATTATTGAGTACACCACACTTTTTGTTCAATTTAATGTTTTAGGTAAAGTCTAATTTAGAGAAATTCAATCCAATTATACACTTTTCGAACAAAATTACTATAGTTGTGAATTACGTACGGAGTATAAGGTATTTGTATTTTTATTTGTCGTGAAACAATAATTGTGATGAAAAAGTTACTTATTGTTGAGAAGTGTGTTTAGAGATATAGACATTGCAATCAGATCAATCGGTTGAGATCCAACTCCATTTGATTCTAGTTTATTTCGAATATGTATTTTAATTATTTTAAATCGACTTCTATTTGGTTGCTAGTTTAGTTGGGTTCTCTTTTTTGTCTAGTTCGATTCAATTACGATTCAGATACATATGGGCTCGGATAAATATTGATTGGGTCCAATACTGTTTCGGTTCAGAACTGTTCATGCAGTATCGGTTCAAATATAAAATGACTCTAATACATATCAGTATGATTTAAGGTGGTACGTTATTCGGTTCGAACCGTTCATGCAGTATCGGTCTTAAAAGTGTATTACGGAGTATTTTTACACAAGTTTTTGTTGTCTTCCATAATATTTTGTTTCAAATTTTAGATATTATTGTTTCAAATTTGATCGATTTTCATTTTGACATTTTTTTGTCCTTATTGGTTTCGAATTTAATTGATTTCGGATGAAATCAGTTTCAGATCTGTTTCGGTTTTGAATATAATCGCTTTGATTGCAATTCTTTCAAATCATTTTGGTTTTTCATTAATAGATTGAATTTTAAGTTTTCGGATTATCTTGAATTTGATTTTGGATCTTTTAGTTCGGGTAATTGGTTTTAGATTTGCTTTACTCGGTCTACTCTTGGAGGCTTGGGTGTTTAGTGCCACTATTATTTGTATTCAAGTCTTTACTCGCTTAAATGTTCCTTTTTGTTAGAATCCCAAATAGGTCTAAAAAGTATATCACAAAGTATTTTTACACAAAATTTGGTGGTCTTCTGGAACATTTTTATCTCTCAAAATACCATTTTTATGTGCAGTATCATTTTTTCATAATTTTAGCCTTTATATACAGAATCACTTTAAAAGAGACTTTGTGGAAGCTAATTTTGAGATGATTATTTAGTGATAGAATTTGAGATGATTATGGACAACTGGATTATTTAGTGAACTAGTAAATCAGTACCTCGACCGGTTCGATCGGCGGTCCAGTTCTGAAAACTATGGTTAAAAGAACGTATAAGGAGTTAGAAAAAATAAAAAAGAATACAAAAAATTAGGAGTTGAAAATCATTAAAAAAACGAAAAGTGTATAAAAACTGAAAATGAAAATCATTATACAATACTC